GTGCTCCCTGTTTCTGCCGTGCCCTCCCAGCCCGGGCTCCCGGCTGCCTCTTGCCACAGTATTTTACCTTCATTTCTGGAGAGGCAAGGCCTCACGGTGCGTGCGGTTGGGTCGTGTGAACCCTCTTGGGAGAGGACGCACCGTGGTTTTGTGCTTCGAGCTGAGCGACTGAGGTCCGGAGGAGCCGCGTGTCTGATCTCAACTGGGCTGTTTCCAAGTTAAAATTCATCGTGCTTTGTGTCTACTGGGACGTGACAGCGAGACGTCTGTCTCGGTCTGCCCGTGGCTTGCTGAGCTGGGGTTCCGTCTCCCCGCAGGGAAGCCAGCGGTGCTGCCTGGCCTGCCTTAAACCCTGCTGAAAAAGGCAGCTGAGAATTTTAGCGTAGGTTGGCAAGGCGAGGTAAATCCTGTCCTTTCGTCACCTTCACCTCCATAAATGAACTCCTGAGAATTATTACCTGCTGAGCATCCCCTTGATTTCATTGCGGGCTTGCTGTGGTGCAGTGAGGACAAACCCTGCTCACTCTGAGCATAGTCCTGCTTGCGGCAGCGTCGCTTGTGTCCTCAGCGTCTGTAAGCCCTTTCCAAACACATCAGTCTGTGCCTGTGATAACTGGTGACCGAGCTGGTCGTTAAGCGCTGCCGCTCCAAGGTGATTAGCATTGCCCGTCCACTTCTGCTCTCAGGTACCTTGTTCAGCAACGAGAATTTACCAGAAGAACCGCTCCAGGGTAATGGATCCAGCCCTGCTCCAAGCTGCTGCTGCAGAGGGTGGGCAGGAGCTGCCGACTCCACGCGGGACGCGTTGACGTGCACCTACAGCTCTGCTGCCGTGGCCGGTGCCGGCTTTGAGCCGTGGAGCGGGGCTCTCCCTGCGTCCCCGTGAGCTTTTCCCAGGTCGCCCGTTCTCCTCCCGTGCGGAGATGACACCAAACCTCATCTTTCTGCTGCAGTCTTTTATTTCTGCCACGTTGTGGCCTTTTCCCAGCGTCTGTTTTCACAGAAGCAATTTAGCATGCGCGGATTATCGAAGCGTGCGGGTGGACGGCGGCTGCGTGACTGGCTGGCACCCACCGGCTTGGTGACCACGGCAGGTTTCTTGGTGTGGGCGTGAAGCTGTGAAGAAGGCGAGATGACAGCGCCAGGCGGAGAACGCAGCCCAGACGCGGTCGCTCTCAATGGAGAGTTTGAGGCTAAAACAAAGCTTGTGTTGTGAAGAGGGGTTTATTTACCGACAGGCTTTTAATTTTCTTAATCCTGGAAACTCAGAAATGTACGTGGGAACAGAGGCTGGTTTTTGGAGTGTGTTTTCGTTGACTGCTGGGCTATTGTGTTGCGTTCCTCAGGGTTTAGAGGGGCTCTCAGTTTACCTTCATGTTTTATTTCGTCAGCCTGGTCTGCGCGAGGTGTCGATATTTTTAACAGCACCGCGTGAGCCTCATTGTTATTTTTGCCTCTCAATTACAGAAATTCAGAAGGCGAGTTCAAGAGTCTACGCAGGTGCTCCGAGAACTGGAAATTTCTTTGAGAACGAATCACATCGGGTAAGAATTTTTGAAGACCCCTGGTCTAAGATTTTTTTATTTTTCTTTACATCTACTGATGGGTGCCTTGGAGAAAATACCTCTTTGCATGCCAAACAGCGATACCACTTGATTGATCGTTAAAGCCTGAAGGGCTCAGTCAAGGGATGGCTGAGCGTCTCAGGAGAATAATTCAGCTTTAATCCTTTCATGGTAGGGTTCATCCACATCTCTGAAGGCTGCGAAAAGATTGCAGTCAAGTTCTGCGCGCCGTAAGTCGGTCAGAGCAGCGAGCATGATTGCCTCTAGAATATTAACAGGGTGGCAGCTGCAGATAAATATATATAAAAAAACTCCATGCTGATTTATGGCTTTCGCATGATGCAGTTCACGAAGCCTGGCTGTGACCAGTATACCCAGTACACCCAGTATTTTACTTCTACAAAGCACAAAATTCCTCTCAAACAGCAGAAGTGAAAGAAGAGCCAGAACCTTCAGGTTTTTTTATTGAACGTGCCGTTCCCGTCATGTTTCCAGTCGTCTCGCCTCTCTGCGCTGGGTCTCGGGACCAGGAGCCGGTTCAGCGCCGCTACACCAGCAGGCAGGGTTTCTTCAGCATTTTTTTTTTTGTGACCACGCCGTGTGCCCAGCTCAATCACGTCGATTTTACAGCACGCTGCTCTGGTTTTGGTCGTGCGTGGTGGTGGGGGACCCTCTGGCAAGCTGCTCCTTCACAACTATTTCCAGCAAACTTCTCCCACAGCTGCTCTGGCTCCTGCTGTGTTTGCCATCGTTTTTCCAGCACCGAGGGTTCCTCACAGGGCGTCTGAAGCGCGAGGCTCTGCAGGTGTATGGTGGCTTGCGGGTGCATGGAGGGAGCTGTGATGGTGCACGGGGTAAATAAAGGAGGCTGACGAGGCCAATGTTGATTTATTTGGTTCACTTGGCTGAAAGATGTGTTTCAAAATGCGTTTTATAAAAATGCCAGGTGGTTTATTTTAGCAGGTAAACAGTGAAAGATTTAAAACCTGAAGACCGGAATCACTCAGGGGTGCAATGAATTCCCACTCTGCTGAGAGCAGGGGCTGTACA